TCACAGCTGTGTACACATTGTGACGCGCGCGGAGGGCGGCTGTTACACGTGCCGCCATTGGCCGCCGATGATGTCAGCGGCCATGACGTCACATATCCTGTTTGGCCGCCGCTGCACCGGCGGTGGCGCGCAGCGGCCGGCGGCGCGGCCCCTTCCGCGTCCGGCGCGCGCGCGCGCTGACTGGCCGACGTGTGACGTCACACACAGGGGTGACTTCACTTGCGCGCGGGCGCGGCCAATGGGCGGTTAGTCACGCGCTTCCCGCGCGCGTCGGGCGACGTCAGGCTGGGGTGCGGCGGCCGCCGCCTTCCGGCGGAGGTCGCAACAGCTCGGCCGCATCCGGGATGAGTCTTCGGACGGCCGCCGCGCCCCCCACGACCCGGCGAGTCACGCCAAACTTCCTGCGCGACGAGGGGGCGTGGCCGCGGGCGACGGCGGTCGCCGGGGTTCGGACGGGGCCGACGCGGCGGCTGGCCAGACCGACGGACGCCGCGGGTCGTCGACGCGGCGTGGGGCCCGGCGGCGCATCAAAGGGCGGCGCGGTGCCATCTGGCACGGCGCAGACTCCCCCGCCCCCTCCCCCTCGCGGCCGAGGGCCAAAGCTCACCTCGGTCTTGATTTCGCGCCGCTCCTCGGTGAAGAGCGCCTGCCCGGTGGAGGCGCGCCGGGAACGGATCGACACCTTGAGCCCCTCCTTGATGAGCGACGACGTGGTCTGCTGGAGGGAGGGCGGCCCGCTGCCGCCGCCGCCACCGCCGCCACCGCCGCTGCCGCCGCCGCCGCCGCTGCCGCTGCCAGACGACTCTTGATATTGCGAGTACGAGGCCGGGAAGGCGGGTGGCGCCAGCGACATCAGCGAGTTGAGTAGCTCAGGCGTGTGCAGGGTCTTCGCGCCGTCTGCGCCCAGGTCGAACGGCGTCGAGCTGCCGGCGACCAGGCCGGGTCAAATGAGGTCGCATTCGTCGAGAGGTGGCGGGAGGTCTAGTCGAATCGCGTCGGACTTGTCGGGCAGTGGCAGGATGGAAGGTCGAATCGGACAGAATCAGGTCAGGTCCATTGAGCGACGTCCAGGTGCCGGTGGATTCGGGTCATGTTTTTCAGATTGGGAAAATTAGAACGGTAATGAGCTGTCGGCCAAGAGTGGGGTACCATAGCACTCACAAGGCAGTCACATGGGGAAACGTTCTAACCCCGGCCTTATCACCGACTGCTGCTGATCGGGTGAAACGAGCAACGACACTGTCGATATGAATGTATAACGGAGATTGTACAATCCTTATCTGATGGGGCTCATTGGATTGCCGCCCCAGTTTCGCCAGAGCAACGGGCGCATATCGGCTGCAAGCAAGCGCTTCCCGGCCTGAGATAAGTGGTTCGCGACCGTTCCCGCCCAGTCTTGTTCGTCAACACGATACACGCCGCGTTGGTACATCATCACTGGAAACACGTCATTCCAGAACGAACACCGCAGCATGGACGAAGCGTCTCGCCAGCCTACGTCATGGACGTGCCGAAAATGGACGCAGTGCGCCAGGTTTACGCTGAAACGTTGCCCATCTATGTGGGGCAATGCTTTCAGGTCACCGAAGCAAATGGTGCTTCGCGCGAATTGATGCACGACAAGGCACCATCAGCCACTGATGTGATTACACCAACGAATCGACGACGTTTCCCGCAACTGCGCCAAGAATTGCCAAACGTTTTAGGGGAACGGCAGAGCCAGGCGCACAATCTGGGCTAAGGACACAATCTTGTCGGAGAATGCGACCTTCTGCGGACTGCTGCAACGCAATCGCGCAGCTTCTGCACGGCTGGAGGGGGGTTGTCCGTCATTAACGCTGAAGTGCCGTCCAGGAACGCACCCTGCAGTGCGCTCCACCCCCGCTGCAGACGCTGCAGCCCAGGAGGGCGCCGTTCTCCGCCCCGGGGCTGTGGGCGGCGGCGCAGGCACGCCGAATGTGCGGCAAGAATCCCCCCCCCCCCCCCCCCTCTTGGGAGCGTGGTGCGAGGAGCGGGCCGGCCTGCTCGCGAACGGCCGGCTCGGACCGGCGCCGCCGCCGGCCGGAGGTGGCGGCCATTTTGGATTAGCGGTCTGTTCGCGGCGGCGTTGATTAGGCACCTGTTCGGCGAGCCAAGCGCTGTCCGACGCTGGCGCAGAAAAATACAGCGAGAGGTGTGGATGATAACAACAGCTCCTGGACTCGGCAGGTTCGGTGAGCCGACGCTTTAACGCAGCTGCGCCCGGGAACAGTTGCGTTTCGGACCCCAGGCGCAAAACAACGGAAAGTCCGGTTCCTCGATTTCCTGCGCGCGTCGAGCCATCCGCCGGCACGGAGATACCAAACAAAATGGCGGCCGGCCGTCGGTGCATGCCGCACGTCTGTCTTTCGGCGCCCGTCGCATGAGCCGCCGTTCTAGCCGCCGCCGACGGCAGCTGCGCGCCCCGCCCGCACTCACCCATTGTCCTCGTTCAGCGTGGGCGACTCCGGCGTGTGAACAAACATCGCACGCTCAGCACGGGAGCACCTGCAACGGGCGGAGTTTTCAGGTTAAGATCGGATTGAGGTAAGCCGCCCGCTCGTCGGCGCACCATCGACGGTTTGAGTGGCCGAAGGCTGTTCAGTGAAGGGTCGGGCGAGAGACGGGGCAGAAACTGAGGTCACTGGGCGCCAGTGGAAGTAACACGGGCTGAAGACGTGGTGCCGCAGCGTGGGAGGCGACGTAGAGACTGAGCTTCTAGCTGCAGGCGGGCAGAAGCTGCCGTGCGATACGCACCCTGTCATCGCTCCCAGCTGGCCCTTGTGTTCTTCCGAACCACTCGCCCGTTCAACACGTCCCACGCGCGCAAAAACTCCGAAGCCACTGTCCCACATTGAGGCTAAGTGCGTGTACGAGCGCTCATTAATCATTGGACGCGTGCAAGAGTGCCGGCCCTCACGCAAGCGTGGGCGGTGACAGTGGCGCATTTGTCCGAGCCAGAAACGTCGCGGCGGCGCCGATGGATACAAATGATTTGTTTTTGCCGCGCCAGCGCCTCTCGAGCGGTTTTTTACTCGGGACGACCATCAGCCGACAGGCGACAGTCGAGCGGGTGTGGTACAGCGGTGTCGCCGAGGTGTCGCCCTCGGTCAGCGACGCCCGCCACCTCAGCGCGCCGCGCCCCAGCCGGCAGCGCCGCGCCGCTCGGGCGGTAGCGTCGCCAGCGGCGGCCGGGAGCGGCGGCCGGCGGCGCGCGGCCGGGCAGCGGCGCAGAGGGGCACGGGTGTCGCCGGCCGGCCGAGTCCGGCGGCCGCCGCTGACACTGTCCAGACCCGGCGGCGGGCGTCCGCGGCCGGCCGCGCCTTATAAGGCAGCGGCCGCCCCGGCCCAGTATCAATCAACGCGGCGGGCGGGGCGCCGGCGGGGGCGGCGGCCGGAGCGGGGCCCGCACCGACGCACGCCCGCCCCCGCGCCGCCCCTAATTGCGCCGTCTAAGAAGACAAAAAACGAAGAGAACTCGCCGCAGCCGCCCGAACGGCGGCCGGCCCGCCCACCCCGCACACACTGCCTCCAGGATGGATGGGGGATCAGCTGATACTATCGGCGGGAGCTATGACGTCACGTGATCGGGGCGGCGGGCGGCGAATAACGACCCGTCAATTGGCCGCCGCGAGAGAAAAAAAAGAGCGACACGTAGAATGAATGGATCCCGGATGTCGTGCAGACTGTGATACGGTGGGAGCGGGAGCTGCGGTGGGACTCCGGGACTTGCCATGGATTCATGGTAGTGGTGAGACTGCCGGCTCATTATTTCACCGGTTGCAGCTAGCATGCAAATGCCGTGAGGACCAATTAAACCTGTCCGATTCGAACTGGCAGCCCTGGCGTCAGCGCGGAGGTTCTTGCAGGGCTTGATTATCAATACCATCGCCATGATATGGCTCACAATCTGGTAATTGTTTGCATCGATATCGCGAACCTTTGAGTGTCCACACGCCTCTATTTACCCCGAGGACAGGCGAACAGGAGGTTGCCCAGAGTCGGCGGACTCAGCACCGTTTTGACCATTCTCTCTTTGTTCGCCACCATCAATCTGCCAAACACGTCAAATTTTCCCAAATGTTGGGAAATCGGACCTTCCAATTCATGCCCGCCCCCATCATGGGATAGTTCCCCACCTGTGATTGTGGCGCCCGTCAATCTTTCACACTGCTCGCCATGGGTCCCACGCGGCCCGTGACGGTTGTTGCGACGCGGCCTCAGCCGGGCTGAGTGACGACCTCCCCGCCACCTCCCCCTCCAACCGTCACACGTGACCTTGGAGTCTGACCTGGCTGCGGACGTCCTCCGAGCACGTCCGCAGACGCTGCAGTACGTGTGAGGGGGGTCAGCACGTGTTGGCAAGGTCAGCCGCCTACGGACGACCCGAGGGGGGAGGACAGCACCTGTCAGCAAGGCCAGGCGCCCACGGACTCCCGGGGCGAGGGGTGGGGGGAGGGAATGAAAAGTGATTGGCATTTTTCCTCCAAGGTTCCCCAGCTTATTAATGTGAGGAAAAATAAGCTTCATTCTTGCTAGATTTGAAAGGTCCCCGTGTGGTGGGCAACGGCGAAACCCAAACACGAACGAAAAAGTCAAAGCGAGTGATAAAAAAGCAAACGGCAAAGGCGACAAAGCTGATATTCATCATTCGTTTCAATATTCCCTGTTAATCTTTTCATTTTAGTGAAATGTAACTTTAACACGATGCATTGCAACTGTAGTGCATAGCGGGAAATGTTGCATGATGATATACGAATATGCATTATGCCTGCCTAAAGCCAATTTAAAACAGCTCACCACTGCCCAAAGCCTGGTTGAACACTTAATGCAAATTTAATCACGCAACCGCTGAATTCAAAAGACGCATGCACGCATGTGTGAATTCACTGTAATACATACACGGCTAAGACAAAATCGTCTTCTTTCGAATTTAAGTATGTGTGCACGGCATCAATTGTGCTCGGAAACTGAGCGCTGAGCAGCTGCATAATGTCATTGCACGAGTTGGGAATACGATTAGCATATCCAGATCCAGCATAAATTATGCAAATGGGACGTCATATAATGCATGAATTACATATTTATAATTGACAAGCTATCAACAACACCAAATGTATTGCATACATTTAAATATGTTATGAGGCAAATCCATTTATTACGTAGGCATCTCATCTATGCAGATCTTGTAAGCACTCCTGAAACTATAGTAAAATATGTTCAGTAAACATGAAGTCACGTCTATTTGTGTAATCATGCTCATATATATTATCGCACACCATCCATTTGTGCAATGCGCGTTTTTCTTGCTCTTCCCGAGTGCAATGTTTGCGCCATTATCGACGCACCACATGTTTGTTATTCAACATCACTATGTACAATGGGTGCAGATATTTAAGATCACACTGGCTGCTTAGTTAATTCATGAATGCATCTCTAAGCTAAGGCTTGAAAAAACACAAGGCAGAGTTAAAGGCGCAGTTTCCACTCAAGATCAGGTTGCAAGCTGGCACAAAACATCAGCCAAAGCTCGTCAAAGTTGGTCGGTGGTTTCAAGAAAGCCATCCAAAAATCGTCAAAGTCGTGGGCTGGAAGAGGGTCAGTACAGCTAGATCAAGTATGCGTAAAGATGAGTTTTTGTTAAGCCGATGAAGCGGAGTTAAAGGATGCTCACCTCTTCTCTCAGCAGCCACTTGAAGCCGGCGAAGCTCCTGGCCACAGCCATATTTAACAAGCAAGCAGTCCCAAGCGCGAGCTCATTCATACCTACCCAGAGCTGCACGGAAACTGTTGCCTGCTTAATCGATCAATGGCACGTGCCCTCCGTTTTTCCGACCACCGGTACGCACCCCCGCAGCACCACCATCCACCCAAGACTAACAGCCGGCTAGCGTTGGCAAGCTTAGATATAACGCTATCTATAAATAGAACTGACATCACTTCGCAGCCGCTCATTGGTCGGCAGTCGGGGCCGGCTGTGTCGCGCGCGGTGATTGGCTGGTGAGTTCGCGCGTCGCCCTGGGCTTGAGCCAGCTGTTCAGGTGAATTTGTAAACAGGTTGTATGCCCTGCACTTGCACCGGGCGCGGACCAGGTACCCACGTCGGGCCTCTGCACTAGGGCCTCTTCCGGTGACACCGCGTGGAGGCGGGCCCCGATCGGAAGGATGATAGGTCCAAGCGAGCTGCGATGCAGCAGCGGCGGCTGCAGCGGCCTGCGACGTCCATTCATCGGGCCAGGTAGTGGCTGTGACGTCACGTCTTACGTCGCTTATGCAATGGCTGAGCCGGAAGCGGTGACGCGTCACGGCGGCGATGAACGGGTTGGTGTGGGCGACCGATGATTCAGAACGGGCCGAAGAGCTGGTTGCATGCGGCCGTGTTTACTGGCCAAGGCAGGAATCTTGCTGGCAGGTCGTGCGCCGAATTCCGCGAGGCGTCGGAGCCGATGGAGTAACCGCAGTTGCCGGTGAAAAAAGGAAACACGTGCACGGGAACTAAAGCCGAAGCTTGTGTTGACATAGCGGCGGTACTCCGAGCTACGGCGAAATAGAGCGCGCCGGAGGCCGCAGTGGCTGGGAATGATCCCAATCTGGTTCACGGTCAAGCAGTGTTTTGAGAGGCTACTTTGCTGTTTCATAGCATGCCAGCGTCCGAAACTGGAATTACGCCAACCGCAAGGAGATGCACAAATGCGTGCAATGGGCGAAGTTCATATCCGGATATTGGCAACACGGCCTTCACCCAAGCCGATGATAACAATGCAGCCAATAATTAATAGTTGAAGCCGCTCTGCAGCAGTTGTTATCTCACCATGTGGTCGTCAGTCGGACCCAGACTACGGCGGCGCAGGCGTCTCATTGCCGTAAAACGCGGTGTTGAGTGGCGGGCATGGACCAACTGAAGGGTACCAGCACCCGCACGACCCATACCCAACAGACGAGGCTTATACCACGCAGGCTCGTGAGCCCATGCGTCGACAGAGGGCAGAGCGGAAAGCATGCTACACTTGGTCGCACGTGAGCCTTATTGTCATTGGCGGGACTTGGGGATTGTTACTGATCTTGTTTGGGAATAGTAACTTATATGCTGTTTTCAAAAAATGCACCATCAAAAGCCTTTGGAGAAGCCGTCCTTCGCCGCCGGGAACGCTTCACGCGTGCGAAAGCTTGGATTGCAGCGCATCGGTTTGTTTTGGTAACAATGACGTCTCACTTTACTACTCCACATCCGCCGCCCGTGTTTGTCCAGGCGTTCTGACAGGCGTCGGCAGCTCTGTCAGCAGCTCTGTCAGAGGCTCTGCACGCCGCTCAGACGCAGTATGCAACTGCGCACATGAGCGGAGGCATGAATGAAAACTCACCTGCCATGCCGCTGTGGTATCGTTAGCGATGATGTCATTCCGTCGTCACACCGCGTCGCTCGCTTCGAGGGGTCGCACGAGGACGTTCCGGGAACAAAACGTCACGTGACGTGATGTGACGTAGCACTGAGTAAAAGGCGCACGGCTACCCGTGACGCGGACCGAGAACCGGTTCCACACCGCGATAGTATCTTAAGCGGATATTTTTACAATGTCCTACCAGTAATTGTCGACCGCAGACGGCCGGCACGCGATGCGGTTCTTTAAGAATGGTTGCTGAGGCTTTTATCTGGGGCGAGGGTAAGCCGGGGAGGTTCGCGGGCTTTCTGGTATGCACTGTGTCGAACGCTCAAGCCAGAGGAGTGGGAGCTTATGACGGCATACGGTGAACAGCAGGTCCCATCGGCAGAACAGACTCAAAGCGTGGCAAGATCGGCAGCAGTGATATCTTGCCGTGCTGAGCACCGAACACGCGATGGGAAGAGCAAGGTCCGACTGCTTCTTAAAAGATTTAAGGAATCGATGCCAGTTTTGGGAAGCCTCATGGCGTGCAGTGCCAAGCGTCGCAGAATGCTGCCTGTTTTCAGGATCTTTACTTGACTCAATATCAGCGGAACTGACTCTGACTCCGGCTGTGACTCGCATTCTACGAAGTTGACTCATCGCTTACCACATTTTGTTGTCGGCTCTAATTTCGACCTAAAAGCGTCTCTCTTAACGCCGCAATCGGTTTCGTTGAAAATGATTCCAGTGACATCAGCCTAGACCTTTCCCTTCCTTTCCCTTCATAACCTTTCTCTCATTTACTCACAAGCTTCCACACCATCAATATTTCGGTAATATGCTAGGTTGTACCGTACTGCTCATCTATATTTTGTTTATCTTGCACTGCACGAATATCATATCACCTGGAGCCCATGTGCAGTGTTCTGATAACTTGATTATACCCTGGCCCATCCACTTTAACTTCCCCCGTCTCTGCTACACCAGTTTGTTGGCCATCGGGTCGATTTCCACAGAGCTCTTGACCTTCAGGCTGTATTCTAACTGAAATTTGAACCAAGCCCGATTCTGCACGTCAATCACGTGACACTCATTCGCGCATTATTTTTTAAAGAATTTGACCGAATGTTCGGCGTGCATGGATTCAGGATCTACAACACAATTTATAATAAGCTTCAAACTTACGTTTTGGGCCTGTTCTGCCGAAGACACCTGCTTATTAACTTATTACTATCACGGTTTACGTGGAGGACCCTCACCCCACCGTCCCAGCAGAGCGCCTCCAGTGTAACGGATACAAGACGTCAACGCGTCATTTCCTGTTGCCACTCAGACACGCCGTGCCAGACTAACCCCCTTGCTCGGTGCCAACTGACCATCATGGCCGTAAACGAGCCGCGTTAGCTTCGTTGCTCGGACGCGACCCCGCATCACTGCTTTGAAAGTGGGCTAACGAGTCCTGCGCCACCCTGCCGAGCTGTCGAGAGCTTGGTGTGTGGTGTTACAGAAACGTTTGGTTAAATATGGAAGTGTTGAAAAGTGCCTTTCATTGTAGCAGGCTAGTCTGCACGAAAAATTAGGTGTTTGTGTTTGCCTGTAGTGAAATGCAGTTTAATCAGAGAAGGCTGCTGCCGTCATTCTTAGGAGCACACCAGACATACCTGAAACGGTGTAAGTTATTTCCTTCATTTAGGGAGGCGCACGCAGTGGATTAATTCCACGAACCAACAGCTGTAACCAAGTCTGTCATCGGACCATTGAATGGGTTGTGGCCTTCCACCCCGGGAAGCACTGGGGAATATACAAACCCTGCGGCACAGTATACCATTACAGGTGGATGACATTCCCTGCCATCTAACGGCCGACGCCCACGCATGTGGTCCGTCAGAGCCGGCGGCCATATTGAATGGCGAAATGCTCTTTTTTCGACCAGTACGCTAATAAATCAAGTAAACGCTTATTACGGGTAGCGACAGGGTAACCAGAAAAACGCGATCCTTCTGTCATTTGTACTGCCACCGAAGATGGAGTAGAATGCCGGGCCCGGGTCAGGTTGTTGTTGCCCACCAAAACACGGACGGGCCGCCCAAACTTCTCGAGAGGCCCTCTTCAGGTTCTCTCGAATATAAAAACTGTAGATCGCGGGCCCCGGTCCTGTCCCTGAATTGGAAGTGGGCCCTGATTCCAAGAACAATTCGGAGCCGACTGTTCGGTATTGGTGATGCCTGGCTGACATATAGGCCATCACCGACTCAGGCCCCAATCGGCGTAAAGCGCCCTCTAGCTGACCTTTGAGGGCCCAGCCCTGCGGGATGAGGCCCCACAATGCGATCTTCGGGCCTTTGGTCTTCGGTCTCGAAGGACCCAAAGGCGCCCTCAGGACCTAAGGGGGACCTAAGGTACGTGCCCCCTGTGTCCCCGCTTGCGTCACTGTCAGTGCGTTGGTACTGTGAATGTGACTTGGATGGTGATGTGTGATGTGAATGTGTGAAAATGTGAATGGGTCTTGGACTCGGTCCTAAATAAAACACTGGCACCTTCCCGCCACAAATACTGGTTGCGTCCCTGCTCCCGTCTCGGCACGCCGGAGATTATTTTAGAGAAGAGGACTGCAGGGAATATTGGTTGGATATCTGAATACCCAACCCACATATCATTTTCGTCATAGTTGCAGGTGATTAACAGTGGTTTGTCAACTGCAACTTTATTGTCTGCCTGAATATTGACCCCATCCCAGTGGACATTTAGACCCTTGGATTAACATACAGTGCAATTAATAAGCTCTTAGGAATCCGAAATTGAGCACCATTGAGTCGGTATGTATTACGCGTCACACTCTCTCATACTCTTCCTGCTTTTGGTGCACATCTAACTCGCTTAAAACAGTTCCTGCGTACACAGGCCATCATGCTTTCCACCATGACCGTGGATGTTAAATGCGAATATAAAGGGCGTGCGTCTTCATTTCTTTTGTGTTTCCTTCGGTTTTATTTTGCTGCCTACTTACTTTTGCTCCATTTGCTCTTTGCGACTTATGACTTGTCTAAGGTTGGCTAAGCCTAACTGGACATCGTCAATGTTCATGCTGCGTGTTGTGGGGCTAAATCATGCCTGTTGTTTAATACATCATGCCACTAGTACTTTATGCCACATCATGCCCATAGCTAGCCGAACACTGCTGCTGCATGATGTGGGGCCACATTATGCCCGTTGCTTGATACACCAAGCTGCTGTTTCTAAATGCGACATCATACCTACAGCTAGCCGAACAATGCTGCGCACCTGGTCTGTACAGTCATCAAAATCATTAAAAGCCTGTATTTTTAGGAACGCAAAATATTTTTTGACCGATACCGACTTTGAGAAGCAGAGCTGACTTCGGGCTGACTGATTCCTTCAGTCGTGACCAAAGCAAACATTGCACGCGGTCTCCTCGCAGGAATCCTGGACCCTGGAGTACAATGGCTTCCCGGGTAAAAATTGCAACTCGAGACATGGATTCCATGCG